CGAACACAATTATCTAAGGCAACTTGCGTTTTTCGGCATCTAAATAATATTATATTCATATTATTATTTACATTTACTATTCCATTGTCATGATCAGTATCAGAAGAATTAACAATAAAATATAAAATGACATACGGAGTAAAGTCCAATGTCCCCGATGATCTCTCAAGGCAATACATGTAAGCATTAAAATCCTCTAAGCAGTGTTTTTTCATCTTTTTAAGAATATCCAATGCACAAGATGTCACAGCTTTTCCTTCATTGAGACAGCGACGTGGGTCGCGCTCTTCTTGTCTGCATAACAAAAATTCCTGAAGAAGAAATAAATTCTATCTTGCTTATTTGTGTTAGAAATAAATTTCTTGCAATTAGAAGACGACTCATGTTTAGTATGTATATCTTCAAAAGTACTATATTAAAATATATAATTTTTATATTTACAAATCTTCATGAAATAAATTCTTTGTATTTGTACATCATATTCGTTTTATTCACGCTATGCGAGAAAACAATCTAAATATAATATTAACTACATTTATACATTGCTATTAAACGGATTTAATAATATCCATGGTTATAATTAACATTTAGTAGTATTAACTACTGTAAAATGTAAACATTAATTAAATCTTAATTAAATCTTTTACAACTGATGTTATAAAATCCGATTTAACTAGCGTTTATATCATAATGTAAGAAGCTTCTTACATCATTTATGGGACAGTTTATAATTATAATAGTCAATAGTTAATAATTATAAGGATGTTACTGAAACCAATTAATATGATTATAAAACAGTCTGTGATTTAATTAAAAGACTAAGATTGGATTTCCATATTGTTGTCTTTTAATAAATTGTAGCTTACTCTTTCTTGTTCTCTTTTTTCTCTCTTTTGTTTTTTCTTTTGTTCATTAGATAAATTATCACATAGTTTTTTTTCAAAAGTGAACAATCAACCCTAACTTATTTTATAAACTGTTTTAATTTATGTCTCAAATAAATTATGTCTCAAATGAATTATTATTTAATTAAAGATATGTTATTATTTACAACATTAAAGATATATTATTATTACAAAGACGTGTATACATGTCATACATCATTACAGGGATTATGTAATTCCTTGAAGGGGAACGGCTCGATGCATGAGGAATAGAATAGGGTATCAGCGTGATTATCCAGCTACTGAATGAATGATTGCAACTCACATTGTTATACCATTCACAGCCCTTGCCGATATAAACGGACGCGGTTTGCAGTACCGGCCAGCTGACGTTTAGCTCCTGAACGGTTAGCTCACTCTCCTCGGGCAGTACCGTCTTCGCTGTCGCCATGTTTTCTTTACAGCAGCACTCCGTCGAGAGGACTTTTCATTTGCGATCAGAGTTACTGATCATGAGAAACGCCTCGGTGCGAAACTTCCCAGTGATTTTAACGCGTAATTGTGAAGTAAGTTATGTACATAAGCGCGATGAAGTAATCTGACAAAAATCTAACCTAACCTTAACGATGTGTGACCTTCGATAGCAAAGCCTCTCCTCTTTTATCGATATCGTAACGTTCGATTCGAGATGTCGACTTCTCGAGTCGACGGTAAAAAGAAAATGGAGCAGACATTGCGTGTACGGACGCGAAAATACGGAATATCACGTAAGAAAATATTATTGAACAATTGTTTAACACCATAATTTTGTGTTAAATTAACAAAAATTATATACGATAATCTCTAACTCATTTTATTCATTTTTTTGTTTCAAACTTCTTTGTAATTAATAATGGGGGTAATCATTTTAATCGATCTAAATCTTGAGATAAAAGGAAAATGGAGATATCGATAATGTATGAACCACTTTTTAATAGAAGTATCTAATATGAACGTAGAAATACGGAATACTGCGTAAAAAAAATTATTACTGAAGAATCTTAAATATTACGATTTTAAAAATTAAATTAAGTAAAAAATATAACTCCGATTTGATTTTTACTCATTTTTTGTTTCATATAATTAAGGATATGGGTAATCATTATTATATTTTTGTATAATTAAAGATATGGATAATTATTACCCAGGAAAAAATGTTTTATATATAATTATATCAAATTATATAAAAATATATATAATTTTATATAATTGTACTCGAGTTTTCTTTAAAATTGTGATTTCAGTGTTATTGTATATA